AAACTCACCATCTCCATTTCCACTCGTGCGTTTTGATTCCTAATCATCCAAACACCTTACATACATCATACACAAGTGATCCAAGTCCCTGTTTCAAGACTGTAACCCCTCCATCACTATCTACCATTTTCAAAACTGAAGCTTGCAACTTGACTTGAGTTGGGAGTTTCAGCCATCCTCAAAGCAAAGAAGGAGTTCGAATACATTCAAGGAGGTCCAGGCCAGCTAAATAGATCATTAGGACATCTCAAAGGTTGCTCAAACTCCATACACGATTCTCACTTCAAGGTAAGTTTTTCTCAACCGTGATATCTTGATACAAGCATCTTTTGTACATACATTCTGAAGTAGAAATGTAGATATCATTGCTCTGAAGCTAACCATGTCCATGGCTTTTATTTATATTGCTTGAGTAATGAGAATTTTAAGTTTGAACTTTCTGAAAAAGTTAGGTCAAAATTTAGTACTAGTCAAAATTCATGCTCATCTTTGATTTATAGTTTTAGTAATCTACATTTTTGGAATCGTTGTGAAATTTGGAACAAGTTTGATGTTTATATTTTTGCAAATGGATGAGAAATGATGAAGTTACAGATGTTCAGGCTGGAGGTTGAAGATGAAGTTATAACATGAACTTAGTTTATTTTAAGTTTATTGATTGTTGTATAACTAGCGGATGAAACAGGCCACCCCAGTGGTACAAGAAGCGTGCGCGTATTAGGAGGTCCTGCGTTCGAACCCCAACAAGACCTTTTACCCCTTTTTTACATTTTTCCATTTATTTTTGTTGTTGTTTGAATCAGACAGCGTTTGGGCTTCCTTGGCTGGGCCTAGCAGATTTACTCCATTTTCACCCCATGTTCACTTTCACACACGTGGCCTATTTATTTCTTTTATCATTTTTATTATTTGTTTTCTTTTAATCATTTTTATTTATAAATCATAAAAATCATAAAAATATTAGATTTAGGTTTTATTTAAATTAAACTAATTTTGGATATAAAAATAATTTATTCTCATCATACCATAGGTTTATTAATTTGTTAAAAATCAATTAGAACTAGGATTTTTATTATTTCTTTTACACATTGAAATATTTTCTTAAATAAATTTAATTATTTTTAAAACAAATTAAATAAGACTTAGGTTTATTTTATTTTTATTTAGGAACTTAGGATTTTCTTTTAATTACTTATCATATTATTTTCATTAAACTTAAAACATTTTCATAAAAAAACTCTAAAAATGCTTTCTAACTTAGTTTCTTTTCTTAATTAGGTCAAAACTAAACTCTTAACAAAAACCAAACAAAAATCATTTCTTTCCCTTTTATCTTCTTGTACATTATATTTTCAATTCTTGTGCATTATTCAATATGGTTGTAATAGATAATTAAGTTTAATTTTCTTGCGATTCACATTTGTAAATTTGTATACCCCCTCCCCTAATGATGTAATAGCGTAGTAATTTTACTTTCCAGAATTTATCGCTTTCATATAAATGTTAGTAATTAGGGTTTGCGTGGAAAGACTAAAATCAATAAGTAGATAACCCAAATCAAAGATTAAATGCATGCAAATTAAACACACTATCCACACATGCACCCTTAAGGTTAACTTCACTTGCTGCCTAAAAAAATGATCATGTTATACATGTGGGATGTCTTAGTAAAAACAAATCAAAAATACAAGATCATAGTCCCTCAATGACGCTACAAATATTGCCTTTCAAAATGATCTTAGTCTCTCAAAGAGAAATGCTAAGATATCTCACAACATTGCTATCATGACCATACAATGACCCACGCCCGTCCCTTTTTACATCCAAAGATAAGGCTTCTTATCAAATCAATGGTAAGATAACAATATCAAAGGAAAGGAAGAAATGAACAAAGACTTTTGAGTAGCTAGATTGTTCCTAGTTGCTTGCTCACTTTCAAAACAAACATCCTTGCTCATTTTCAAAACAAACACCAAACACTTTCAAAAACAAACTTTCAAAACATGAAATATTTTCAAAAAGTCCAACATTTTGTATACGTTCTTACGAACGAGAACCGTTATAAAGTTTGCCTAAACAAATGCACCTTTTCAAAATACTTCCAAAACCACCACAAAACACATTTTCAAACAAAAGAAAGTGATCTAGCAAGCAACTAAGAGCCCATAGATAACTATGGATGAAAAGGTGTCAATACCTTCCATTTTCATAATCTACCCCTCGAACTCATGAAATAATCTCAAAGGTCTTTCCAGTTCTTTTCCACCTTTCCTTTTGGATAAAAGAAAAGTCGGTGGTGACTCTTGCTAATCGCAATATTTGTAATCAAACGTAAAACATCCCAAGTCAGTTCTCCCATAGTATCACAGTGTATGAACTTTGGTTTAGTTTTGGTGTACTCTGGTCCTATGGTAGATATCGGGAGCGAGTAGCTAATTTTAATGAGAGATTAGTGAAGCGTTACTATATGGTGATTAGTAACGGTTTTCGAGTCCTCTGGTACTATGGTGGGGATCAAGAGTGAATAAGAGAATTTGTGTCCATGAGTGGTACCACATGCATGTAGAGTCAATTTAGAAGTACATTTGTATACATGTTTTCTTATGTGATTGTTTATTCATGGTGAATGTGATTGGTTGAGAACACATGATGTGATTGATGAATTATTTTGATTAGCGCGTGTATGTGATGATTATGTAAATTGTCCTACCCTTGCATTATTTTACACCACTAATATATTTTAAGTGTATTCTAACCTCCTTTTGTTTGTTTGTGGTGTTTGTGCTTCTATGGAGTATAAGCGAGCGGGATAAGGAGTACATGTTTGAGGTAAAGGACGACTTCAATGTCTCCTTAGTTGCTTATTCATTTGTGTCGTAGAAGAGTCGCTCTGATATGTACCATTGGGGGAACATGTTGTTTTTTGTTTTAATTTCTGTTTCTAAGTAATTTTTGAAGTTGTTAATTCATTGTAGAATTTCCGCGAATCGATGGTACTATAATGTCAAACTTAATTGTTTTTGTTGTGTATTTTAAAAGAGATTAATTGATTTTGTGTTTTTTTATCAGGGGATTAACGAGTAGCACTCTTACTGTGGATTTTATTTATCGTATTATCATAAATATATTGAGTCGGGATTTAGGGTGTTACAACGACCGTGGGTTGGCAGCGCGATTTTAGCATTTTCAGGTTGGCGACGGTTCACGAACGACTATCAGTGATTTTTGATGTTTTTTGAGTTTGTTGACCAGTCTGGTGATTTCGAGTAATTTTTATGTCAGTGACCTTTTTGATAAGTTGAGATAAGTTATTATTTTAGAGTTAATCTGATTATTATTTGAATCAAACCATCAGCTCCTAAGAGTTCAATAGAGCCCTTTTAGAGCACTTTACTAGTACTCTAAAGTTACTTTAGAGATATAAGAATTGTTGTAGGGCTGTGTAGAGATCTCTTGAGAACTCTTTTGAATTATATAAGTAAATTGTTATAGGTTTTGATGTGTTGTGAGAATAAAATGAGAATAATAATTAATTTGTTGAAATGATTTGAGTATATTGGTTGAGCTGGTTTGAGATATCGGGTAATAACATAGTTTTACTCTATTCTTGATTATTTTGAGCAAATATATAATTATTAAATTTAATTATATAAATATTTTGAGTTGAGTAATTCAAAAGAATTACAATGTGGCCTTATACTGGAGAAATTATGATTACAATAGGAACCCGTTTGAGTTTGAGTTTTTGAGAATTATTTTAATGCTGTTGTTTAAATTTATGATTGTTGTTGACATAATCATGCATATATGTATATTGGAGTTAGGTATAACTTCGATTTAGAGAGGTCAGAGGAACTATGACGGTCTCATGTTGAGAGAGGAACACGGTTCAGAGAGAGACCAAAGAAAGGGATAAATCAATAACACACCTTTGATGCTCAAAAACTAGGTACCACATACATATTAGAGGAGGAGTTTAATGCATATCGCATTGCATTATGATTATTATTATTATTGTTGTTGTTGTTGTTGCTATGTGAGAATGATTTAAATGTTATTTTAACCGTCTTGCTATTAACTTTTACCGCTAACATTTGTAAGAATTATTTTCACCCCTTTCTTGTTTTTTTTTTTTTTGTGGTTTTGTATAATGTTGTACAGATTTTTAGGAAGAATACGTGTTGCTATGAGTCGAAAGATAGCTTTGATGCTTTCTTCGTTTATTTATTGTTTTTCACTATTTGATAGATTTTGTCCTGATCTATAATATCGGAGAACGAGTCGTTTGATTTGTTTTGAGTTGATATTTGAATTTTGTTAATTTCAATAAGTAATTCGAGACAATGAAAATTTATTTAATTATTTGCACTACGCCAAATAAGCTATTTAATAGCGCTTTTTTTTGTTTTTGATAGCGCTTAAAAGTGCTATTAACCGCGCCACTATTGTAAATATTTCTTATTTAATAGCACTTTAAAAGCGCTATTAAAGTACCAATTTATAATAGCGTTTTAATTAAAGTGCTATCAAAGCTAGGACCTATATTTAGAAAGTGTATTTACCTGGGATACAAGTTAGAAATAAAATAACATTTTTATTTGATCTAAACAACAGAAATATTTTCATTTCAAGAGACATAAATCACCATGATCATATTTTTCCTTATCAAAATAAAAATCCTCCCTTCCACTAGACTTCACCAAGACACACATGTTGCTTTTGAAGCCAAAGCAGGATACAAAGGACTAATTTGTAAACTCAACCAAAGCTTGATATAGAAGCTACCATTAATTATTTTTTATATTTAAGAATAACATGTTACAGATACAATTTAGAAAGCAAACTTTTTTTATTCAAATGGCTCAAATATGAATATAAGGTACATCATGCCCTACTTTTATTTTCTTAAAATCTTATAATAAATATCAACAATGTCAAAAAGGTAAAATAAGAAATTAAACTAAGAGTAAATCAAATATAAACTATCAAAACTTGCATCTCTAGTTGTTGTCATACCAAAACTGTTTCTGGAGATTGTCAACTATCTTATTGTCCACTTGAAAAGCCTTTGTGAGAACATCTGAAGAAATTTTTGGATTAGATCCAAACACAGCATTAGCAATTGTGATAACTCCTGGATTCTGACTGCTAAGTCCACCAATGGCAACCGCATTTCCATATCCCACATTCAACTGAAAGTGAATGAGACCAATAGGGAACACAAATACATCTCCTTTGTTGAGTACTTTTGTAATGAGACGATTTTGCGGATTAGAAGTAACAAAACCAACATAGAGAGTACCCTCCAAAACTATAAGAATCTCAGTAGCTCTTGGATGAGTGTGTGGAGGATTTAGTCCCCTAGGTGCAAAGTCAATGCGAGCAAGAGAGATACCGAGAGTGTTTAATCCTAATATCTCGTTAACTGCAACCGGTGTCACTTTTGAGCCAAGTGAATTTGACGTGTTTCCTTCTTTCACTGAGAAAAAGAAGTCATTTGCAGTGGCAAGTTTTGGATCTTTGCACAATTTTCCATTAACAAACACTGCAAATCAAATACGGAGATTAAATTGATTGACTGTAATAAATTGATGAACAGAAAAAACATTATTATATATACATACCACCATTATTGGTGTCATTGATAGCTACACAAAAGTCTTGTAGAGGGCTGGGATCAAATGCTAAAGCACAAGATGCTAAGGCCATGAAGGCTGTAAAAAACAAGTAACTACTCTTCATTCTGTTGACTTTAACAGAATGCAGTTTTGAAGTCTTCTTGGTTGGGAGAACTTCAGATCATTGATGCATTCAATCCATTTTCAATGGATATGAAAAATATTGAGAAGGACGTTAACAAAAGAAATGCAGATCCAAAACTTAGTAACAGATGCAGCCATTGAGTTACACCATATGAACTGCTTATACCAGAACTAATATGTGGAGTTATGTGTTCCATTGTTCTTCATCTTAGGTTGGATTAAAATGGACACAAAGTACATCCCTTTTAAACACACAATATAATAATAACATCAAAGTAAAATAATATTGGCAGGATGAAGTCATTCGCATCTATGAAGCAGAGTTGAAAGTTAACAAGTTTAAATCTTTCTAGGTTAGTCGTGCAGAATTTTATGCATTGAAGTGAACTGTCAAAAACGTTGGAAGATGTATGTAATAAATAAACAGAAGATTATCTCAAACTACTACCACGGTGCTAAGTACCTAATTAAAAAAAGGCATGTTTTTTATTTAGTACCACCCGTTAGTACTACCCAGTGCACATTAATAAGTTGTGAATATAGGTGTGAGCCTAAGTATTATAACACTAAGTCAACATATACAATAACAGAGGTAAGCAAGAAAAAGTGGCCGCATCAATAATGGTGGTAAGCTATTAAATACAGCAAAACATCAATAATGTTCAAGTATTGCACAAGTTTCCTTCTCATCTAGCAAACAAAAGCCAAGGAAATTCTATGCAGAAATATGTACTCTAGATTCAAAAAAGATAAAAATATAAAAATCAGTGTTGAAGGCATGTGATATTTCTTATGCTGTATTACTCCCTTAAGTGTACAACTACAACATGACAGCATGTAAATTTCAGTATTTATAAATCCAGCTGAGATTTTCTATTTCCTAACAAACTCATAACAAATTAATACAGAAAAACTCACTGGAGATTCACAACAGAATGAAGAGTAACTCCACTTGCTGCATTCTGTTAAAGTCAACAGTAAGTTTGTGTATCCTATATATTCACTAGCAAGATAGGTATATATAATGAAAGGTGGCACTTAACTGCAAACACTAATGCTGCCAAATTAGACTTTGGATGAAATTCTATAGCTTTGATTCGCGGTAAGGGATACACTGCTTCTCCACCTTGTTGAGAAAGGATACGTGGGATATCAATTGCTTCAATTGCTGCATCAGAATTTTTATTAATTAACCAGCCAAGTACAATGACAAGAACGGTAATAAAGTGAAGCAAGTCGATTGTGGGTATTGTTGAGTATATTTGATTTGATTCTTTCTAAATTTCTTTTCTTCATCCCATCATCATCACAGAGAAATTAAAAGGTAAGAACTATATGGATTGGCATAATGTTGTTGAAGTGTTGTTTCTAGGCCAAGGACTTTATGGACACCTTGTTAAGAAGGCTGATGATATTCATGCTATTGGGAGGGACACATAGCACGGGAATTTCAAAATAAACATAACATGAGAAACCATTTCTCAAAAGCCAACAAGAAATTCAGAGGTAGAGGCAGAAAGAATCAAGATAGATAACCAGCAGTCTCAAAAAAATTTGCTGGCATAGGAGGTCTATTAGGATTAGCTATAACCCGTGTTTTCCAAACCTTCATATTTCCATCCTTTGATAGGGTTACAAGCATACGCAAAGTGGTCGGCCAAGCAACAGAAGTTATTGGTTGCGAGCAAACTTGAATTCTGATTTCCATGTAACCAAAATAACAGACAAACAATTCCATCAATAGGACATAAGTAAATAACAAATTCAAAATAGATAACCATGATGACAGGTCTTTCATATAGATAATAGAAAAACCTCAGTCATAGGTAAACTAGAGTCACTCACATTCCAATCATACTAGGCTTCTCGATTGATACATCCCATGCCAATAGTGTACCACGTCGATCTCCAACAAAAATCCATTCTAGAGTTGGATGAAATGCAAATGCACTAGCGCCATTAAGCTTTATAGTATTTTCAACTGAAGAGGAGACAAAAAATAAATAACACTAAGGGTATAGCTTATTGGATAAATATAAACAATATCAATAAGAATAGAATGTGCTCTCTTTGTTTAAACAAGTAACTTTTTGAATGTAAAATAACTACACCGAGTGACAAAATAGTTCAGCAATCAAGAATTAAACAATAGTTAAAAACTCATAAAACAGAGTAAACGAATCAATTTAACTTGCAAAGAAAAACCCTTCATTAATCATACCTGACATCAATATACTTGAAATACTTTGATGTTAGTAAATCAATCAAAAATTCAGCAGAACTAGCAGAGTGAATCTGATGAAGCAAAACAAAATAAAAATATCATATATCAAACTATGAGCACAAAAATAACAAAGTAGAATTACGATTAGAATGAGAAACTTACAATACTACTGATAATTCTGTTATACAACGAAGAATGAAAGGTGCCGCCATTAGCAACCTTCACAAACTCCATCAACGTATCCAACACAACTTCCTTCAGAGTTTCATCAGATTGATCCGATACAAGAACATCTATCAGAGATTTAAGAAACTCATCGAACTTCGAACGGAGCCAAGTGAGGTAAATGAACTCAGACTGGTCGGCATCGGCGTTGTCGGAGGAGGAGGTGTTGGCAGTGGCAGAGGAGGAAGGTAGTTGAGGGAGGAGAGGGAGGAAGAAAGAATGAAGAGAGAGAAGCGATTCGAGGACGTGTTGAGGTGGAGAAGAAGGTGAGACGAAGGTGAGAAGAAGGTGAGAGATTGTTGATGTTAGAGGCTGATGAGAGTAGTTCGTTACCTAGGGTTTTGAGTTCGGCGACGCCGTACTGCTTGGATTGAAAAGAAGAATCCATTAATTGTGTTTTGTTTTTTTTTTTTATCAATTAATTAATTAATTCATTATTATATATAACATAGCGCTTTTTAATAAATGCTATTATATAGGTAGTCAAATAATAGCGTTTTATACAAAATGCTATCTTAAAGAAGTTTAATAATAGCGCTCTGGTACAAAGTGCTATCAAAATTACATAGTCTGTATTATATAATAGCGCCCGATTAAAAAGTGCTATTATAAATGTGTTTTTTCCATTTTAATAGCATTTTTTTTAAAAGTGCTATTAAATTAGGTGATACAAAAAATCATTTTTGGCGTAGTGTTGAGTTTTGCTGTGAATTTTAAAATTATTTAAAAAATATGAATATATGTTTGAGTAGCATCTAAAAATAAAGATTTTATTTTTTCTAATTAAAAATCTGGGTTTTAAGGTGTTACATGAGACACAACTAGGATAAACATTTATCACACAACAACTAGTGTGCAACACCCCAACCAAGACAACCCCAGGAAGCCTCCACTTGAAAAAGAGAAAACAGAATACCCGTCAAGCTACATCAGATTGAAAGAAGCTCACCATTATTACAACCGCAAGGTAAAGCTTCCATCAAAGAACTCATACCCTAAAGAAAAGGACAGAGTCGGTATATAGTAACACTAAGCTTAGTTTATTTATCACACAAACTCCAAAAAATTTGTAGAGATAAACTCTTTTTGGCCTATTAATCCAACTTCCCAATCAACAAATACTGAAAAAGGAAAATAACATTATCTATAACATCTAGACTCCCTAGGCAACTCCACCTTTCAATCTTTAACTTCTACGCCCACTAACCTATCAACTTCTTCCTAATCTTTCATCTTAGAAGAACAACCAAATTTTAGGGTTATTTATACATCCTAGAAGAACAACCCAATATATCATTATACTTTTTGGGTTATTTATATGCAATTTGAGAGAAAAATAAATACTATATGCAATTTTTTTCTGTAGTAAATTGCTCTAAATTTCTCTCCTCATAACATGTTGGCGATTTTGTATCACCAATGTATTTTAGTAGTAATGTGATTTCTAAAGGCCGATGCAATTATGTGTTAAGTTCGGAGACGAGTTAGGGAAGTGCGGAGTGCACGCTCGTCGAGCCAATGCATAATTGAATACGAATAATTGAAACGGGGTTCCAAGGGGCGAAGCCCCTGGCGGGGTGCGGGGCAGCGCCCCGTTGGGGTTCCAAGGGGCGAAGCCCCTGGCGGCGAAGCCCCTCATAATCATCACATACTCGCATACAGAAAAAAAACGCATCATTCTCTCTATAATTACAATTCGTTTTCTTTTGTCGAAAACAAAATTTCTTCGAGAATTATCCCCACAAAAATTTCGTGAACCCAGACAAGAATATGGTCGAAATATTTTGTTCAGAAAGTGTACAAACACGATTCTTCGAAGTTATCCAGGATTATCACACCCTAAATATCTAACATAACATGCACGTTTAATCACATCAAAATCATAAAAGCAATGCCTTGAAAACCCTACTTAACATAGAATTAATTCTCTATCCTTTCCGAATGTTTAACACTTTAGAATTTATCCAATTATGCTAATAAAAATTATCCTCACTCATAATGAATAGACACGAGACATTTAACTTATCCCTATGTAGCTAGTTTTTCTATAAATAACCACTCTTTCTTCATTAAATTTCCATGCATGCATTCTAGTACCGCAACTAATACTACTACTCTTGCAAATCCCAAAATGCATTCCCTAAAACCACTCACTTTTACACTAAATATATTACTCTTGCTACTTTCTCTTTCATCCCAAAAACCTTTGGTCGATGCTGACATCGAGCAAGTTAATCTCCGTGACCAATCATCACTCTCTCTAAACAACAACAACAACTCTCTTGCATCTGAATCGGATGAAGAAGACATCTTGAAAAGAAGTCCTTCCATTGAAGCTAATATAACTGCATCTAATTTCACCTACCTCATGAAATTCGGTCTTAGAAGGTACAAAGGCAATAGAGATCTCATATATGTCAATGCCACTCCAGATACCGGAAGCGATCTCATATGGTTTCATAGCAAGCCTTGCGATTATCTACTAGGTAAATTCAGTTTATTTTTATTTTTAGATAAATTACGTGACAACAAGATTTTTTTTCAATGATAAATATTCTATCTCTATAAAAAAGAATAGGAAAACGTTAACATGATTCTGAATTACTTGTAGAAATATTCTCTTTTAAACGTATGTATTTCATTTTTTTAATTTTCAAAAACTAATAAATATTTATTTTTTTCGTTTTACCTTTTGTAGATGCGAATTAAAGACACAAGTTAGCATGATTTTAGTTAATTAAAATTTATTAAATTTGCGAGTTCCTCCACTAAATCGGCACATAATAAACGTTTCTTGTAAAACCACTTTTATTATGGTTTAATCATTTTCAAAGTGAAATATCACATGTTATTTTCAATTTTTATTAATATAAAATTCACTCAGAAAAAGTAATAAGAGCTCACATTTATACCATTTTTTAAAAGGTAATGTAGAATTGATTCCATTTTACAATACTAAAGGAATACTAATGATAGGTTTTCTTTATTATACTATTTATTTTTTAAAATTTTTTTCAATATTTTAATTTATCTGTTTTATATTATTAATGAGGATTTTTTCTAAAATAATTTATAAGTGAATGTATATTTTGTTATCACTGGCCCTTATATCTTCTGCCTTGTTATTTTATTACATACAGGTTGTGATTGTTCTTGTTATTACAAAGGTGAATGTATCACGAAGCCCAGGCACATTTTCGGTTGTACAGATCCAACATGTAAACAATTGAAAAATATTGGAGTCGATTATGAATGTTACCAGCAAAATGCTAGAAAACTATGCTTGTACAATCTTAAATATGAAGACGGTGCTGAATCAAAAGGATTTTATGGTCATGCAGATTTTCAGTTTACACCAGGCGAAAGTGATAAAACGGGTGAAATTAATGAGCAACCATTGAGTGTTGGATTTGCAACTACAAAGAAGGAGGAAGATGTACCAGAAAGAAATGGAATGGTTGGGCTTGGAATGGGAGAATTGTCTTTCATAAAACAATATGGTGGAATACCAAAGAAATTCTCTTATTATCTACCTCAGTTTCTTCGTCAAGATGAACCAGAAATGAAAAAGAAAAGCAAGTTCATATTTGGGGGCGATGTGAAAATTTCAAAAAAAAAGCACTCCTTTGTTTAAAAATAAAGTCAAATTTCCAAAGTGCGAGACTCGTTACTGCATCCAACTTAAAAATATTTGTCTCAAATTTAAAGGCAAAGACTGTGAAAATTATAAAATAAAAGCAAGTGAGGGTGACACTGAGGATGATAACATAATAATTATTGATACAGGTAGCACAGTTACCTATCTTAATGACAGTTTATTCGAACCATTATTACGTGAATTAAAATTAAAGTTAGAAGATCAAAACCCAAGAAAACTATTATATTATGAAAACTGTTTTGAGAAAAAGCATGGGAATGTTGAGAAATTGGAACATATATCATTTAAATTTGAAGGTACAACAATTGAATTGAAGAGGGAGAATTTCTTTGATGAGTATAGTGTTCCAGACTGCGATGGTGGAGACCCAAAAACTTATGTTTGCTTAACAATAGAGGGACAAAATGAAAATGAAGGGTATCGCAAAAGGCTGCGTAGCTATGGGAAGTCAAAGGGAGAACCACAAATACTTGGAAGTAGGGCACAAATGGATTTTACGGTTGCTTTTGATCTTGGAAAGGGTATGAAAGTATCTTTTGAGAATCATGAAAAAGTGCCAGATTCTGGAAGTGTTGAGAAGGTGTCTTTTGAGAATAATGAAAAAATTTCAGTCCTTTCAGAATAAGAATTTGATGCTATAATTGGTCTATTTTACTGCCTCAGTCATGTGTGTGTCAAGAATAAAAAATGTATGGTTAGTAATATTTATGTAGTTTTCAATAAGTTGGGATTTGGCGGTATTTGTTATGTTGTTGAGGTTATTAAGATTATGTAATGTGTGAGAGTTGGGAGCTAGAGATTATCCATGTATGTGTATGTATATATTTCCTCCCTTTATTAATCACACTAATATCATAAACATTATAAGAAAATTAGCAGTACTTCTTTTTTCGTTTTTTATTTTTATAAGCAATTAAATTGAGTAAAAGCGATACTTCTCCCAAATACAAAGTTTAATACAAATTGTGAGAGGCCAATAGAGCCTTGCACTAGTCATAAAAATTGGTACAATATATAGATGAGGCAATTTGGGGATTAATGAGGGAGCATATTTATTTGGGACCTCTAAAACTTTCCTTCATGTGAGTCTAATGAGATTAATATAAGAGAGACATCACGTCTTAACCCAAAATTTTAAAGTGATAAGTGTGTGAGTTCTCTCACTTTGTTATATATTCTCTTTTCTAATTAATGTGAGACTTCTTTCTCACAATTGATTTTCTCAACAAAATCTAAGCAAATAATTTGATGTCTACAATCTGTTATACTTCACAAGTTTATTCTCTAAAAAGGATATTATTTCTTTTTTTTTATAAGTAATGGGATGGATATAACGTTAAAGAGTACAAGGGATACTCACCCAAAATACAAAATTAGTGAGCCGTAATTAAATCTAAAGGATTGATACATCAAAACTAAAAATTCTTACTAACTTTTGATTTCGTGCCAATAACCTATCAGAACCAAGAAATAAGTTTAATAAAATCAACTACATCACTTATGATTGCCATCACTTATGATTGCCAACTCGTTTTTAAAAATAACCGCATTACGCTGGCACCACAATGCCCAACATATTGCCGACCAAAAAACTAACTGCTTTCTAATTTGAGGTTTCTCTTTTAAGGCCTTCTCGAACAACAAGTGATCCACCACCGTATAGCATGTACCTGAGAGATGTCGATCCAACCCGACACTCTGCCCCAAACTAAGATAGCGAAAGGACATGACAGTAGTAGGTGATCCAATGTCTCTATTGTATCAGAACATAACACATAAATTAGTCCATCAACATTTGATATCACACCTCTTTTGGCCAATTGAACTCTCGTTGCTAATCTATCTCTCACACATCTCAAACCAAAAACCTTAATTTTTGAGAGAACCTTAGTTTTCCAAATACAGTCAGTAACAATCCACGAGTTCGAATCTGTCATAGCTGAACTTCCAATTCTGGAAAAAGCAGGGAAATCTTCTTTCACCAAATACATTCCTTCCACATTTGCATACAAAATAAACTTGTGCTCCACACCAGCTGTAGGGCGAACAAGAAGAAGAATGCTTAGCAGATCCTGTTGTTGAACTGCTACAACGACAGTAAGATTCGTAACATCCACCGTAAACTTCCAAGTGCTCCAACAAGTTCCAGACCCAATAAAAATTTTCTTATTAATTGACACTTTACCCTTGATGAATCTAGAAAACCATTTGAGATGTGCTAGCCCTTCCCTTCGTTGATCACCATCCTCATCTATTCAATATAGAAATCTACCACCTTTTGAAGGAAGAACACTCTAAGATTAGATGAGTAAGATCTTCTTACTCACTAAAACAAAAAACACAGACTTTAATGTGATCATCATGGATTATTCCCCTTAGAACTTTTCAGTCTCTTGTTGATAGCCTGTTTAAAATTAGTCTCCAACCAAAAATGTGAATCCTTTAAGAAATTTTGGTATGTCATAATTTATGCAAAGCAAATTTCATGTCCAGATCCAGAGGAGCAATATCTTCCTAATCTACAATCATTTTGAAACTGGTTCTTACTGAGTAAACACCTTTTGCAATATACGTTATTCTTGAAACTAATGTTAGAATTATCTAACTTTTTATAGGCTACAATCAATTGTTGTTTAATGTGTGAAAAATAGATTAATGGTGATTCTTGTTGGAAATCCACCAAATTCTATGATGAATTTCTACCACAATGGCAATTTAATTATGAGACAAACAAAGAAAAAAAGACAAGATAAATAATTTCTGCAAAGTTTCTCTCTACTCACAAACTGTGAAAACTTTCTTATTCACTTTGCAACTGTAAAATACTGTGAATGACTTGCTTGACTTGCTTACAAAAATAGGGATTACTCCATTTATTTATAACTGAGCTTACACTCTAAGCCCAAAGCCCAAAATATCTATTTTGTTAATAAATCAAATCTAATATATTCTAGACTTAAATCAAATCTATTTAAATCTAAAATAAATCAAATCTTTTCGACACATAGTTTCGACGCACTGAATTACAATTTAACACATCACCTAATTCATTGTGTCTAAACTATCTATGTTCATCATGGCTCTTAGTCTTCTGAATACTTCGACTTGCACTCCCTTCGTCATGATGTTTGCAATCTGATTCTTAGTTCTGCAGTGTTCCAAATTCATCTTCCTATCTTCTACCTGCTCTCTAAGATAATGGAATCTCATTTCGATGTGCTTGCTTCGACCATGTGCTATTGGGTTCTTTTCCAGATTAATAGCTGACATGCTTTCGATCTTCATGGTAATTGCTCCATGATTTTTCCCTATTATCTCTTCGACCAAGTTCACCATCCAAGTTGCTTGACATGCATAAACAGAAGCAGTTATGTATTATGCTTTGTATGATGATAATGCCACTACTGGTTCCTTTTTTGAATTCCAAGCAACTGGTGCACCACCTAGCATAAACACATATCCCGCTGTTGACTTTCGATCTTCAGCATCACTACACCAACTCAAATCAGTATATCCCACTAACTTGCATTCTTTTCCTTTATCAGCTGTAGGAAACAAAATGCCATAATTGAAAGTTCCTTTGAGATACCTTAATATCCTTTTTACTACTGCTAGATGTGATATCCTTTGGCTTCTGCATGAATCTACTTACCATACCTACACTGTATGCTAAGTCAGGCCTTGTATGACAATGGTATCTCAATGATCCAATAAGTCTTCTGTATTGGGTTGGATCAACATCATCTTCATCTGCATCTTTCGACAGTTGCTTTGACTGCAATCTTTACTTGTTGAATTAAAAGTCAAATGTCTTTCTCCCACTCTATTGTGTCACAATTTAAGTGTTGTTATGTTGAGTCACAATACTGTCTTACATGCTCGAATCAAGCATATTGAATTGATATTCATTTTGTTAGGAAAATGGTAGCTGCAAATAAGCTCGAATTTAACATGTCGCAGCTTCTGCTCAAATAGTTGATATCATGACAAAACCACTGCCCAGTTCTGCATTTAAAGACTTCAAGAGTAAGCTCAAAGTTGTGTCATTGTCACAACCTTGATCTTGAGGGGAAATATTAGTGTGTATTTTCTGTATTGGCCTTACAATTGAGCTTACAATTGTTATTGGGCCTTGTCATATATTAACTCTCTGTAAGTGAACTTCACCTTTGCAATAGGATAAGATATAAGTGATTGAGAATAGTTAGAGAATGTGATGAAAAAGATAACAAGATTGTAATAGAAAAAATTGACTTCATCTTCAACATTCTTGAAATGATAATGCAAAGCATTTCATACTCTATTAAATAACAACTATATATCCCGCAAATCAGAATGAAAAAAATTTAATTACTTATATGACATGTCAGAGTGATATACTCTAATTGGTTGATAGTGTAAAAAATATTTATATTGTAAGTCTATCTCCATTTACCCTTAATTTTATAAGTTTTAATTGAATTTTATTTTACTTTATAATATTCTTTATGTAGAATTTTGATATATATATATATATATATATATATATATATATATATATATATATATATATATATATATATATATATATATATATATATATATATATATATATATATATATATATATATATATATATATATATATATATATATATATATATATATATATATATATATATATATATATATATATATTAAAAAATAATATTTATTTTTTTAACAAAGAAATTTAAAATAAATATTAATATAATAAAAAATAATTATATGAATTATAATCATTTATTTTAAATAATATTTTACTATAAATTTTAATATAAACTTAAACTGCAATAACATAAAAAAAAAAGTTTATTTTATATAAAAATATTAGAAATTTATGAGGTTTATGTGATAATTGTGATGGAAATGTTAGAGAAAAATAAAATACATCTCAAAATATCTCACAAATTTGTTCTTAACGATATTGTGAGAGAATTTTTGAGAGATTTTCTATGAAGAATGATTGCATCATAAATTTCTTCACTAATTTCTTCCCGATAACAAATTATTCATTTTACTGTTTTTCCTCACTAAATCTATCACTGTGTAAGATTTATTTCTCTCACCAATTTTTTTAACTAGACTGCAGTTTTTAGCAGTGCTCTTTAAACACATGGATCCACATGGTTGTCTTGGATTAGAGGTGGTCTTTCTATTATTTCGCATTTGGTTGTGTGGTCTACTTTGAAATCACAATTTGACATTGTTTTTTAGGTACGTTTATTAACATAACGGATAATGAAGAAAAGTGCAATTTTCTTACTTAAAAATGGTTACTTGAGGTCTGTTACCTATTGATATCCTTTCTTGGAGTAGCTTTGAAAAATATATTCTCTATATGATTCTATATATGTTTGAGAGTCACTAACTTGGTTCTTAGGGGAGAATTTTTCTTAATGTCTTATTGGAGGATTCATATCTATTTTGTTACTAAATAAAATCTATCTATTTTAGATTTAAATCTATCTAAATTTAAAACCAATCAAATTTGTGTGTAGCTTGCTTCGATCCACAAGCTCTTCGACTGAGCAACTTTCCTTCGACACACGCACACTTCGACACTCCCTTCTTTCTGTCGAGCAAACTGTTTCGACACAAGGAATTA